ATGCAATTGGGTGTGAGATGGGTCGCATCACATGACTGGTGCGTAAAGCCCATTATTTCAGCGAATAGAGTGATGACTGCTGTGCAAGCACACTGGCCAGGCGTTTGGACATTTTATCCTCCATTTTATCACGGACAAGCGGCTGTGTTTGTTTTAGCACGGAGAAGAGTTCTGGCATATTCTCTGATGGATGCTCCATCTGCCCAGATCACAATCTGCGCCATCTGTTCTGTTGATTTTCTTGTGGTATTCTTTGTCTTATCTGCTGCAGCGGAAGTATGAGGAATGTGCACAGGCTCTTGCAGATATGGAGAAGAGAGCTCTGATGGCTGAGAGCATGGTGGATGCTTATACTGCCGCCATGGCTAACACAACGTCTTCCTCTTATAAAGAGCAAGTGCAACGGCGGCAAACCCGTACAATTGCTTTTCCAGGAGAGGTTACAGCTGACGAGCACCATAACAGGAGCAATGAGATTTCGAAGCCAGATAGCCAATCAGGCCGGGTAGGTTCGACTTCTGGACGGATTACACAAGGAGATCGGTCACATCTGGTCGATGTGATTTTCAAAGTCTCTGAGGCTAACATGCAAATGGTTGGGGGGTCCTCCTCCGGTGGGGACGGGAGAGGCCCGGATTTGCCAGGCATCTCGTCCTCTGATGGACAGGGGAGAAGCAGCGAGCAGTCTGTGACTCCCAAGCATCACCAGAGGAAGAAATGGTCTTGGCGAGCTCCTGATGGTAGCGGGTGAACCCCCGAGTGTCGGGTTTTTCGACTAATTGAATTGTAAATTCTGCACTTACTGATTTTGTCGTAGCATGTGGGTTCGATTAAATTACTGTAGCAACAGTGTAAGTCCATTTTTAACTGATTTTTCTTATTTTCAGTGGATTATATTCTATATACTTGGTGCTGAGTCTGCTGACATTTGTGTATGGTGCTAGAGCAACTGGTCAAGTTCTTTGTTATGTTGCCATGAGATTACTTTTTTTTTTTTGAGCACTCATTATCAATATTCGTGAGGATAAATTGGGGCGTCTTTAACGCAATCATTATCAATATTCATGAGAATAAATTGGGGTTGCATATCTGGGCAGTTCAAAAACTGCGTCTGTCCATCTTGCACGTCATCATTATTGAGTATCAATCAGCCTATTTATTCTATGCACTTTTCAACTTTATCTCCCATCGCCGTCCCTCAACTTTCCACATCATTGCCTAGTCCATCCTTCTATATCTGTCTCTTATACACATCTAGATGTGTATAAGAGACAGATTACACTGTAAGTGATAATCCACACCTTAACCCCGATTGTGGTTAAGCATCAACTACTGCACGACAACGGATACCCTGAGGTGGCCACCAACCACTGCCCTCAAGGTACCTGTGAGGAAAATCAAAGCAGACTATCACTAACCGACACCAGATGGAAAACGCCACAGACTGTCGGTTCACACCCAATCACAAGCCAGAAATCACAAGCCAGCAAAACACCCACGAAATTCCGGCCGGGCAAGTTGTCCTGGGTCACTGTGGTAAAATTGTTACTAACCATACTTGCGGCGCACCAGTGCGCAGCGTGGGGCGGTGCGGTGCGCTGTGCGCTGGAATTCCAGCGCGCGCACTGTGTGCTGTACGCAGTGCGGTGCGCAGTGCACAGTGTGTGGGCTGTGGAAGGTGTGCCAGGTGCGTGGAAAAAATAAAATAAAATAAAACATACTTGCAAGCAGACGGACCGGACGAGCGTCCGGTCCGGTCCGTTTTGCCGCGTGCGGCACCCTCCCCCCGGACCAGACGGACCTGGACCGAACCGGACCGGACAGGGCCTTTTTTTAGGGGGGGGGGGGGGGCGTAACTAGTCGTCGGGCGCACATTCGTGCGCCACACGGGTGCGGTCCGGAGGTCTGTGCACGTGCGGGACCGCCCGGACGGCGTCCGCTTGCAAGTATGAAATAAAATAAATAAATAAATAAATAATAATAATATTAAGAATATAAAAAATTTAAAAAGTAAAAATAAGTACAAATAACAAATAAAACATTTATTCATGCCGCAGAGAGAGAGAGAGAGAGAGAGAGAGAGAGAGAGAGAGAGAGAGAGAGAGAGAGAGAGAGAGAGACCAATGGGTTCCCTTTTCATCAATTTAGGGTGCCCTGCATGTAACTTATATGACTCCCACAATGCGCTTCACAACGCACTTCAGCACTTCGGCATTGTGGAGGCATTGAGTACGGTGGCTTCAGCAAGCAGGGTGGCCGCTTCACAATGAGAGAGGTGGGAGCAGACCACCAATGTATTCTGCGGGGGCGAGTTCAGGTCGGTAGCTCGGGAGTTATGGGGCAACAATTCAGCTAGACCCTGTTCGTGTCTCCACGTGATTCTCAGGGCCTAGCTCCACCACTCAGTGGTACTCACCGAATGAATAACATCTGTAAGTATTCAGAAGAAGACAAAAAGGAAAAAACGAGAGAGCTACAGGCATCTTCACCCCCACTGTACGTATTCAGAAGAAAACAAAAAGAAAAAACGAGAGAGCTACGGGCATCTTATTCCTAACCTATAACTGCCGACATGCAGACCTGAATGCCAAACTTCAGCATATATTGGTGGTCGGCTGGACTCACCAACCATTACGTGTGCCATCTGCTAGACAGCGTGACCACGTCAATACTGGGCAATTATACCCTTCTTGCAAATTTGTCCACCTCTGCGTGGGTTTTGCAGAAGGAAAGGGGAAGTCCAGTTATCGTACCTCACCCAAAAAGGAAAACCTAGAGGCTCAATGAGCCGTATTTTCATAATCAGCAATTTTGAAATTTGTGGGGGAGCAGCCTGCAGATTTCAGAATTCGGTAACCCTTGCCCAAAATTTTTTTTTTTGGGCCAAGGGGCGCGGACAATATCCGAACTCGCGCGGCGAGTTGGACATTTTTTCCAGGGAGGGTACCGTAGGAAATTATGGAACCCCTACTTTTTTTCTTTTCTTTTTTTTTGCCTTAATTTTTCTGGTGCGCTGCGCAGTGCGCAAGTCCGCGCACCGAGGTGCGCCGCAACTATGTTACTAACCTAGAGAGGCAGAAAAGAGAATAATGAATAAGCTCTCCAACCTAGATCGGCAGAAAAGAGAGAAAATTGACTGCAAAATCCAGCTAATGGAGGTATTTCTGCCAATGAAAAGATAGTAATAGGCATTTCAAAATTTTAATAGCTAGAATAGGATTTGTCAACGCGAATGCGGCTAAATCTGCTATATATTTCTAACTATTGTGGCGTAAAGCTTAAGGAATGACAATACCTATAAGTAAAAAGTTGCTGAAAACTGTTTACCTTCTATAGTTCCACCGTTATCACACTGTCCAACTGAGAGGATACTCACATTTTCAATACTTGCATTAGGATGTTTGTAATGGTCAAGAGTGTAACAGTGTCAGTATGTGCGGACTCAATTTTGTGAATCATCAGTGGCTAGGAAACTGCTAGCTTCTCCTTTTGGGACATCCGTAAAAAATCAAATGATACAGAGAAGATTAGCATGGCCGCAGCACGAGAATGACACGCATAAATCGAGAAATGGTCCAAATTAAACCACCAGTTCCTTTCCAATATATGGGCCGTGGGCGCGCCAAGGAATCCGGATGCATCTGGCTGGGGCGAGAGGCCGTTTGCGGCCTCCGTGTTAACCGGCGCAGTATTCTTTTTTTTTTGGCTGGGAAAGGTACTGGCGGTTCAAAAAAAAAAAAAAAAAACGGAAAGCGCTACCTTACCGCCCAGCCCATGTGGTTGAATGGTACCCACATTTAACTGTTGATAGACACGTCGTCAGTTTGAATCGCAATGGGACGAGATGGATACAATGATGCTAGGGGGTTATCCTGTGTGGCAAATAAAAAACAAGGATCCTTCTGGATAAATGGGACGAGATTGATGACACGTCACCAGCTCAGTTAGTAGGCTGAGTAGGGACTAAATGGATGAGTGCCATCTAATTGTGTCAAAATGTACCTCTTGGTACAATCATATTAAAATGTTAACCTTTCAGAAGCTAATTGGTCGCATCCCATCCTCCACCAGATGGTTATGCTTTGTCATTGATGTCAGGCTAGGATGATATGAATCGCAGATGCTTGGTACCTGCCTGGTAGCTTTGGGCCTAATGTGCTAAAGTTGCTGGAGAGGGAGAGAGGGGGGAGGGGGAGGGGGGGGGGGGGGGGGGGGGGG